CGCTGGAGCGAAATTCCATTCTCACTGCAGCGAAAATGAAGCAATTTGTAATACCAAGTTAGGAACAAATTCGCTGCAGCGAGAACACGTCAGATAATGAATATTCCTGTACGGGTTTCTAGGGCAAGCTAAAAAAAAAAAGAGGTATAAATAAAAAGTTTTGCACTGAAAAAGAGGGGGGATTTGGAGAGACCATTTTTGACAAAAGGAGGCAAGAACAAAAAGGGAAAGAGGAAGAGGAATCAAGAGCTGGAAGATTCAAAAGCTGCAACACAATACTTTCTCACTCTAGATTTGATTCTCTCTCTCTTACTCTTTTTGTAAAACAATGTTTTTGTTTCTTGAATTGTGTACTTTCATTGTGAATATATTGAGCTAGAGTTTTTAATCTAGGATTATGGTGGATGCTATTGTGTAGTTGGACTTTAGATTCTTCCTCTATTTGCTTTTACGAGAATATCAATGGTTATTCAAATTTATGCTTATTGTATCATCAGCAAGTTGAATATGGAGTTTTAGATGAAGCCTAAGAAGGACAATCTAAAAGGATCCAAATTTAAGTAATGTATGTTCATCTCATATTAAGAAATTAAGTAGGTGATTAATTAACAGGATAGACATATACCTATTAATCATACATAGTCACTATAAGTCCTAAACTTAGTGAACTTAGCTTTAGTTAATGTTCTATAGACATATAGATAGTTAATGAAGCTACGGAATTGTATGATAACTCGACGACGTACCACGCATGCTTAGGAAACCTAGACTAACATTGATTTTCATAGAAAGTAAGTAGTTGATTGATCTTGTATCCTTACAAAGCAATAACTGAAACTATAGTCCTAGACCTTAATTATATTGTTTCCTCACTACTCATTTAACTTGCAATCCTTAAATTAAAGTAAACTTTTGAGTAACTTTTATTTCAATTTTAACAACTCGTACTTCTTGTTGCTTGTTGCTTGAATAAAACTTAACTTGTTACAATTTTAATAATTAGTAACAAATAGTAATTCAATTCCTCAAAAGATCGACAACTCTACTTATTATTATATTACTCGTAACAACCGTGTGCACTTGCGCGTAATCCTTGCTGATATTTCACGTTTAAATTTTGAGTATAATCTATATCAAGCAAAAGATTTATTTATTTCAAAACAAGCAACACAACAGTTTCAAGGATGCCATGAATTCTCTTGTCCCTATTTATAGTTACCATCTGTGAATGTCATGGCAGCTTCAACTTCTATGCAAATTCACAACGAAGGATGTAAATTCCAGATCCCATACTCTTTTTCTTTTCCATTAAAACCACACATGCATAACAGTTGCAGTAAATAATTTTACAGCATCAGGAAGGGCTTCCTTCCAAGTTTCTAGTTCCAAGTAATTCCCCTTAAAAATATATTGCAATCTCCTACATAGAATCCCATAATTCTATTTTTCCTTTTTCATTTTCTTTTTCAGGTAGAATAATTATGCTACGCAAACATAAACATGGATAGATATACATATATTTACTGGTTGAACATTATAAACCCTGTCACTGTCACTAATGATTGAAACTTCCTGCAGCAGGGGACATCATTGGGCTTAGCCATCTGACACCCATCGTTAGATCCACCAGCCGAGGAACCCATGTCAAGACTTCGAACCGTTCAATGAACAGGCCTTCACTGCAATGCTTTCCCAGCCTCAACAGCACTTGGAGGACATCCCAGAAACTCCCTTAATGTCTGTATCAAGACCCTGTAGTCTGATTTTCTGTACGCAGGAGAAGAATAGACTCAAAATAGTTAACATCCACTATGGTCAAGCATCTCATCCTCCAAGAAATATAGCATGGAATATAACCACTTTTTGACTATTATTATTTCATGAAATGGGAAATGACTGCTTTATATGTTAAGTATCCAACATAAAACCAATAAACAATAAACCTAAATCTTCAAGTCTTACCAAGTCTTATGAACTTATATGTTAAGCATACAATGACACATAATGACTAAGCAATCAACTTGTAAAATTCATTTTAGGTATCAAGTTGCTCCTCACATAATTATTACAAGTGTTTGTCAGAATATTATCGGCAGCAAGAATGCTACCATCACGACCACCATGCACACCCTGTCACCACCTTACTCTACCCCTACAACCATTAGTAAGATCATTAACACCATCATCACAATATTATAAGCAGCAAGAATGCTACCATCATGACCACCATACCACACCATCTGTCACCACCTCGCTCTACCCCTACAACCATCAGAATATTATGGCTCCAATACTATAAATACTACCAACACCCTTGCAGCCTCACCATTACCAATGCCGCCGAAATACGATTGCCACCATTATTCCCTTTGACACTTTTCACTACCTTAACCATCAGCAAAATTACAAACATGAATATCATGATTATTATCGGCATCAATACCAGAGTATAATCATAATCGTTACAACCATAACCAATATCACTATACATTATTTCATCTAATTTTCCTAAACTATATGTTTAACTTGGTGTATTATCGCTTCACCATTGTTAATAACTCTCGTTCAAACTTCAGTAGCTTTAGCTATCCAACATTTCAATTAAATGTTTCAGCTAAAATTTCAGCTCTTGAAATATTCAATTCTTTCAACTGTCAGTTTTACCAAACAACATTCAGTCTTCTGATGCCTTAGGCAACCAAAAAATACAAAAAGAAAGAGTATATAGAAAGGAAACCATATTTCTATCTCAAACACCTTACAGTATAATTGATTCATTCACATGCAAATGATTATTTGCATCAGCAAGTCATGCCTCATCAGAAACTCGTATCCTACCCTCTTAAGTGTTCTAACCACATACATGCATTCTAGCCACCCAAAACTTCATCTGAGGGCTCCTAAGTTCATTTCTCTCAACCATTTTTGTTGTCCCCCATCAAACCCCCACGGTTTCCCTCTCAGAGGCTTCAATACCCTTAAAATGGAACACCCTCTGTTTTTGAGAACTTCTTGTTGTTTTAACTGGATTAATATGGTTTGGTTTCTTGAAAACTGATTTTGAAGATTCAAACATACACTCACCCAAAAAAAGAAAAACAAAAAACCATTCTTATTGTTCTTGTCAAGTGTCATAAAAAATTGTGTTCAAAGGAGGCAAACTGTCCCCAACCCACACCCCCCCGTACAAAAAAATAAAGAAGCAGCCCTTAAGTCCCAACAACCATTCATCCTGCCATAGTTTTTGTTTCTGCACAACACTTTTGTAAATTCAAACATACCTTCACTCAAGAAAAAAAAAATCATTATTTTTGTTCTTATCATCAAGGGAAAAACAACCACAGAAAAAGAAAAGGTGCACTTCGGTTCCTGATCAGCTGTGTCTGACCACCTCTACCATTTTTTTCACTCCACCCTGGCTGGCAAATAGTTAAAGATTCATCCAGTGAAACAAAACCACCTTCCAACACTTAGATAATTCACAAGCCTTTAAGTCATTAATTTTGACAGATAATCTAATATTTTATTGGCATTTTTTCAAGATGCAGCCTTTTAACACTTTTATCTACTGATGTGCTACCTAGTCTTTTAACACCTTTATCTACTGATGTGCTACTTATCATTGTCCGTCCACTCAAATATCATGTTCTTGTACCCTCACCACTCACTTATATTTGTTATTGTTCCCATTCTTCATGGTGACTTTAGAAGCTTTACTTCAAGACAAGTAGATAACATCAATGCATTAGAAGATGCGAACAGATTTGAAAATATTAATAAAGTAATTGGCCTTCAAAGGAAGAAGTAAACCCATAGGGCTAAAATGGTTCACCAAAACACAACTTCTTGGCATGATAGAGATAATTAACAACGGCATCAAGCTAGAAAAAAAACTTATGAGCAGAAAGAAATATACCACAAAATTTTTTAAAAATTTAGGAAGCATAAGTCAAAGCAAGAGTACAAGCAAGTCAGTGAATCTATTAGCACATACCTTCTCCAAATAGCTGCTCAAACCGAGCAACAATGTGTTTTCCATAAGTATATTTTTTCAAAGCATGAGCATGCAATCTGATGCGACTAAGCAGTACTGCTCGTTGATTATCTGTACATGTTTCAAAAATCTTCTGGACAACATAATTTGCAAATTGGTCCTTCATCATTATCTGGAACATTAAACAATTGAACACATTAACTAAGTGCAATAGAACTTCATATTCAAAATTCTCACATCAGATGCGGTAAGTGCTATCAATCTATAAACAATTATGATTTAATTGGATGACAGAATAATGACTTCAAGAAAAACAAAAATCTGAACCTCCACAAGTAGGATGGAGTTGGAAAAGTAAGACCAGGCACAAAAATGTTACAAGGAGCTTTTTCTTATTTGAGACCAGCAGACATCCAATTTCTATATGTCATGAACATTTAACTAGCATGTCTAAAATAAAACAATTGTAGAGCTGAAGAAAAAAAAAACCAAACAAACAACATATTTCCACAAAGATCACTCCATAGCAATAGAGTGAAGTCAAGCATTTAAGAACATGACGCCCATCAAGTTTATTATATTTAAGACTAATAAAAAGGGAAAAGGTAAAAAACACAAAAAATTCATCTTATACACATAATTTACTTCCAAGAGAAATTGGTAAGGGGTTGGCAGAATGTGCTAAAATCAGATGCTAAAATAATAAAAGCCATTCTCTTTCAAAGTCTTTTCTGTTGCTTTAATTTATCACAAATATGATGAAAAATAAATTAATATATACATGTATATACACTTACATACTTAAGTAAGACTTCATTTTGCTTTTAACAGACAAACTGGTGTTTTGACAAGCACCATGGAGGTGTAGTACGAGAGAAGAAACAGACAGGCAGAAAAAGGAAGAGAGAATTAAGATATTGGCAAAGAAAGAAACAACTAGTTTTTTTTTAATGCCAATCTCAGATTTCCAGGTGATGGAGCAGTCATTGGTTCTCTCCCTCTCCTCACACAACAGACACATATTGAGGTCAATTCTTACTCATTTTCTTTAATATCTTAAATTAAGCAGTAAAGTCATATGTACAGCACAGCTCATTCAAGTTCACAAAGGTATCAATTGTTAAATATGAATAGGAAATGTAATTCATGGTAGAAATCTTGCACATAATCCAATCTGTTTCCTTCAGGCTACAGAACATTGTTGCAATTTATACAACCATTATTTATCATAAGCACTATAAGGACTCACCAATAAATTATCATTTCCCTCAGTATGTCCAACAATCTCCTCAACTATTAGTTCTCGTTCAGAGGGACCACCATATTCCAAGCATTTCTCAATAACATTTGATGCAAATTTATGCTGGCTCAGTTGCACAATATACCCAGACAACTTGCTAATAATTTTGCTTCTTTCTTGAAGCTTTCCCCTCTCCAATACATGCTGCAAATGATATGACATTTAGATTGACATCAACAATGGAAAGAGGAAATTATAACAGAAAGGATATCTCATTCATGCAGTTGGAGAAGGTATACACGGAATTTGAAAAAGCCTTCATTCTTCAAATCAAGAACATTAAAGAAAAATGAGAATCAACTAAGACAAAAAATCAGAGCATGAACAGACATGCACAGGTACAAAACACACACATGTTGAACAACAGTAATAGGATTGAACAGTGCTTGTGTCATGGTGTGTCAGTGTGCTGGGTCCCATATTGGATACATGCTAAGGTTATCTTCAGCATATATAAAGGGATGATCATTTCATCCAATAGGCTAGTCTTTTGGTTTGAGGCCCAAGCCCATGACAATGGCCCTAGGGGTACTATCATGTGGACTTGGAGGCAGTACAATGCAAGACTATGCAAGCAGGAGTGAACTGAGTCCCACATTGGATGTGCTAGAGTGATCTTGGGCATGTGCAGAGGGATGCTCACTTCACCTAATAGGCTGCTCTTTTGGGTTCAGGCCTACGCCTGTGACACTTGCATCCTCCCAAAACAAGCAAAATTATGAAGTATCAGACTCATTTCCAAACAGCTTTCCCGATCTACATGCCCTAAGTTCATTCAAGCCTAGAAATTTAAGAATCGTATGAAAAGGGTAAAAACTACTACAAAGAAAGCAACATAAGTACCTCAGATTCATGAACAGCCATCACAGCCTAAGATTTCTACAAAAAATAATGCACTCTCCAGTCGCAGGCAATAGACAAAAACTGCAATTTATTACTGACTAGACCTTAAAACATTAAAATAAAAACTGGTAATCCTCTTATTCCTGATGGCTTAAGGTTAGCACTAAAGCAGGTAAGATCTTTTTCAGGTCTGGTAGTGATCTCTGGTGTTCCCACAAGACTATTTCAACAAAAGCACAAAACTAAGTAACAAGATGAAAATAAAACAACCAACTACTAATTAGTGGCTGATAAAGGATAACTAGAATATTTAAGCATATGATCTATAATAACGTTAGTTTGGGAATTCGCTCTTCATCATGGACTAGGGTTACATGCTGTAACTGTAAATACTTTATTTTGTTATATTATTTGGCATTTTGATGTTTGAATATTCAAATTCTCTCTCCCTCTTCTAAGTTCTTTCTTTCTCTTTCTTCTCCCTTTGCTCCATCTTTCTCTCTACTTTCTATCTCTATCCTGTCTTCTCTCCCCTCTAACCTTATTGCTCCGTCTCCTACTCTTTATTCTCCTGTGCTGCATCAGTAGACCATCAGGTTTGCTAACCAACCCTAACTAAAATAAACTAAGATTGTAGTAGGAAGATATAGCTTTATGGTTTGAAGCATTGACTACATTGAACAGTAAAAATAATAAACCAAACTGAAACGAAGTCAAAGTTTCCTGAACACAGTATTATGGTTAAAGAAAAAATATTTAAGTGCCATTAGAGCATCTAATCCTGATTAGAATTCTTTATTTGGTGATGAAAGAATCATGTCCGTATCGCCTCAAATATTTTGGTAACTGATGTAACAAAACACATTTTGGAAGATATTAATAAGAACCCAAGCTGTATATCTTGTTGCAAACAGGTATAAACTATCAAAATTACAGTACTTTGTAATGAATCGAGTGCCCTAGCTATCTGGGTATATCAAACACATAAATAATTACTGGAAGAATCAAGAAGCAATCACAAGTTCCAAAATTGACAAGCTTTGAACCAGACAGATATTAAAATTGCAACCAACATGAGCCAAAATGAAACACTAACCTGGGTAACATAATTCCCATATTGGTCCTGAGCAAGAGCACAAACAGATTCCAAGATTTCATCCACTATAAACTGGCATTGCTGCTCGTCTGTGCAATGTTCTAAAACCCTCTACAAGAAACAAAAAAACAGCTCCATAGTGTTCTATGGACAAGAAAAGGATGAAAAAGGAGAAGAAAAGAAGGAAAGCTCCAATAGCTCCACCTAAGTGTAGTCTTACCTGTATGACACGGCAACCATAAGGATGAGTAGAAAGTGTTGCAACTTGACCATGAAAAGCAGAAATTATAAACCCAATTTTGTCTGTAGGGACACTCTCAATGCACTTTTGTATGACATGATTTCCATTTTGATCACGTACACATCTCATAACATGTCCATCCAGTTCACGAACAAGCTGAGCTTTTTGTTCAAGATCAATAACTTCAAGTGCCTAAATGCGCATATAAAGTCAAAACTAATTTTGGTCTCAGAAAGGAAAGCGACAAGTATCAATTCTTAAAAGAAGCAAATACTTGATATCTGTCGAACAAGATAGTTTTATGTTCTATAATGACAATTATCTCAGAATCTAGCACGCAAAGCAACCTATATTATCCCAAACATTAACTAAAAGCCTCCTGGAAAAGAAAACAGATGAAAAAACTGAAAAGAATCACCTCCTGATATTGGCAAAAAAAAGTGTGTTTCCAGAAATTATGATATTTGTTAACATCATCTTCAAATAGATGAAGCAACACACAAGCACAATAAACAAACATCCACACGATTAAGTTCAGAATGTAACTATATAAGCAATGTAAAGCTATGCTACCAATCGGCCAAAGCCAACAGATTACTAAATGTATTTTCATCTATCCTAATGAACAACTGCAACCAACCCTGCCACCAAAACAACAAGACAACAAAACCTGCTAAAGGTAAAGAAGGAAACAGATATATATATACAGCAGTTGCTTTTACACATGGCAGATGCACAGAAATTGTGAACTTTTGCATGTACCACAAAATAGAAGAACACAGAAACTTTATATCCAAGGCAATTTACGTATTTAATCAAATTATGCACAATAATCCAAGACAAATAAGTTAAGCAATTTAACTGTTAATAATACAGTAAAAACTAGTACATTGGGTCAATTTATTAACCAAAGTATAAAAGAACTACCCATATATCCATGGATTTTACCAATATACCAAAAGTTCAACTTCCAACTTTAATAGAAACAGTAGCATACTCTAAATTTCCTTTAATAACTGTCTTTTTTTCTACAAATAAACGCATCTGCATATGAGTAATGTTATGACTTGGCCTAAGGCCCAACCATCTAAGAAGCCCATAAAACGCACATATGGCGAGGCGCCTACGTGGCTATCAATAGACACCACCTGTCCCTGAACGGCCAGTCATCTAAGAAGGCCATGAAACCCACATATGGTGAGGTGCCTATGTGGCTGTATCAATAGACACCACCTGTCCCTAAAAGGGCAGGCTAAATAGGACAGCTATGCACATTAGACTTGGCAATTTTGCACACGACACGTTAACAAGACACGAAGTTAAGCAAGTTTATGGTAATTTTGTTCTGTATATTAATCGTTTCAACACGTTTAAGACAACAATTGCACGTCTTAAATGTGTCAAACCTGCTTAGCCAGTTTAACTCAATTAGTTAATCATGTTATCAACCCATATAACTAGTTCACCCATTTATGACCGATTTAAGTAACCTGTATAAATTTTATCTAATTTTATTAATATATTTTTTCTATTTTATAAATAGGTTTGTAGCATGACAATGAAATGTGGCAGTGACAAGAGTCTTCAATCTTGGCTCTTGATGTTTTATTATGTGGATGGATCATGAATATTATTTGGATTTTATTATGGTACTCTTATGTTGACGCTGATGTTTATGTTGGATTTTTATAATGCTTATGTTGATGTTGATGGATTTTTCACATAATGGATATTATTGTTTTGTTATGGATGTTTTATGATTATTTGTTTTAAATTTGAATAATAGAGTACTATTTTATTTGTATATATATATTATAATTAAATTATTAACAAAATATGTTTTAATTTAACCGTGTTAATCATTTAAACAGGTTAGCAATCATGTCTTACCATAATAAATTTAATCCGACCCATTTAATAGACATGTTAAGCATAAATTGTCGTGTTACACTTTTAATAAACATATCCATGTATGTGTTTATGACCTTGACACGTTTAATTAATCATATTGTATTTGTGTTTACCCATATAACTATTAATACCTTATGTTTACACAACACGGTTAGCACACACAAACACAAATTGCCAAGTCTAATGCATATGATCCCAAGTACAATTTCCACTCCTCACTCTCATGCTCCCTCTTTTCTCTCTCATCTCGTCTTCTCCTTCCCTCTCCTCTCTCTTCTAGACACCTACTGAGTTAAGCATGGGAGAGGGAATCACCAGAAAATCCCCTACCTACCTGATGTGGGATTGAAGCACCCTGCCTACTTCTCTAAAGCACTTGGTGAGACACAAACACCAAGCTTTAGTCCAGAATGATCCAGTTGAGGTCCAACCCCTCAAAGGTATCAACAAGTAACAAATAAATCTGCCAAGATGTAGATTACTACAAAAAGATTCCTATGGCTCTAATATGAAGACAGAATTAGTTATGAAATAGAAAAGTTGGGGCCCATTATTGATCCTCATTGCTACAAAATTTCAACAAATGAATCTAAGAAACATTTTAGGTACACGAAAATCAGCATCCAGTACACTTCTGAAAAGCACAATCATACATATTACCAGTATAAAAAAGATTCACTGGGAAGAAATTCTTCAGTATGTTTTGAAAAGAGCATATGAATCTTCTTAATCAGGAATAGACTTAAACATGATAGGTACATTTATGCACAGAATCTACCAGAGAAGCACTATATTATGTACATATAATTCTATTTCTTGTACCTAGTAAAATATATCTCAAGATTCTAAGCATTCTCCTTAGAATGGACTTTTCTTTTACATAAAGAATATGTGGCATGTTGTATCAGAGTTGACTATGTCTACAAAACAAAAGTAAATAACAAAAGAACAACCATCAGAACACATTTCGGGAAAGCTAACTCAGACTCCTACCTTTTTGACATGCAAGAAAAGCAGAAAATGAAAGGTAAAAGCCAGCAGCCAAGACAATTCAGATTTACAAGTTTAAAGATGCACAGGAATGGGATAAAACATATGCTTGGCACCAATTAGTATGGTGTAGAGATCAGAAATACCTTTTGTATTACACGACAGCCATACATTTGCAGACTAAAATTCAAAATCTGACCAGAAAGCTTATTGGCAAGTTCCTTTCTCTGCTCAGGGCTTCCATACTCAAAAAACTGCATATAGACAATGTAAAAAGATTAACTCAGAAAACCCAGATAACCTGCAGTTACAAACTATACAAAATGTGGTAGTTTATATATATATATATATATAAAGTTTGGTAGGTATTTTGGAACACACCTTCTGAATAACGTAGTTACCAAAGACATCAGTCATTAGTTTGGAAGCATGTGGAAGAACTTCTTTGAATACAGATGCCTTCTCCTCAATGCTACAATTTTCTAACTTTTGCTGAATAAATCGACTCCCATGTTGATCAGCACTATATTTGAAACTTCCTGCTGTTATTTAATGTTCCAGTGCCAAAAATAATAAGGGTAAACTACACAAAATACCCTGTGGTTAAGGGTGAAAATTTTGCCCCTTCAGATTCAAAAAGTGAGAATTAAGTACCTGAGGATTTTTCCTTTAGCCACCAGATTAACACTGTTAATTAATCCCACTCACTTTCAGCCATGTGGCCAACTTTTTTCTTTCCTCATCCATTTTCTCATTTGCCAGAAACTTTCAACTCTCTCTCTAAGCGTATGTAATTTCTCTCTCTTTAATCATCCACGGTTTCTAGCCAAAAGAAGAAAAATCCTTCCAAAGCTAAGGCTGGAGCATGGCTCCAAGTTTCAGCTGTGCACCCTCCCTCCTCCCACCCCTAATTTGTTCCTTTTTTTTTTTCATCTTTCATCCTCATCCATACCTTAATTTGACAAACTAGTCTAAAAGGCTCTGATCAATTTCATGCAAATGAAAGTTTTGAAAGATTCAATTATTTTGGAAAGTGGAAAGTCCCTATCATGATTGTTGCCTTCTGTGTATACAGACTTGTAGAATGATGGGTATGTGTTCAATTTTGAATTTGGGAGTGGCAGCATTAGATGGCTATTTTGTTTCACTTGTTCTTAGGATTTTGATTCTGTGTGGATATCTTCTGATATTTGGGCCGGAAGAATATAAGTCTAGAGTGAGAAAGTCAGATACAGTAAAAGTGAACAAAAGAGAAGTCTAATTTTGCTTGTATTAGCTTTTCTTTTGATATGGTAGAATTGAAATCAGCATAAAAAAGAAGAAGTTTCCAGTAACAGGCAAAACATGTAACCCTCGCATGTCTATAGAGTTAACATGTCAAGCATATTGCAAATGCTAAATGACAAATACACAGGGTGGCTAAGTGTTAGAATTTAACCTTAGGCAGCAATTGTCTTCCATGTCAAACCACAAGGGAGTTTTTGTAATTTACCCAATAAATAAATAAATAAACAAAATGAATATTAATTGCAGTCTAGAACTTGCCTGAATTCAACAACATGTCCTACAATATCAGATAGCTCAAATCTTCGGCCTTTCCCAGATTTCAACTCTTCAAGAAAATTATATATCTGGGGGTCATTAGAACTCTCAAATCCTCTTTGAGGTTGCCATCCAGAATATACACCAGAACTAGCTGCAAATCTAATGTCATTCTTCCCAACAGGAACACCTGTCCCTGCTACTTGAGATCCAGGCATAAATGGACTAGCAAACGACGCAGACGGATATTGTATCATGTTTTGAGGGTTTCCAACGTAATGAGGGCTCATCAACCCTCCTCTACCTGTATTCAGATTACTTGATCCTCCACCTCGCTGATGTTGTAATTTCTGATCCTCTGTGCAAACAGCAAGGTTAGACCCTTTATGAGAGTCAAAACCACTATTCTGGCTCCCAACGATGCCACCCCTAGCCATAGGGTCATATTGACCAGAAATACCATACGCTTCCCCAAATGGCTGTTGGAAACATTGCATATAAAGTGGGTCACCAAAGGAAGATTGGGCTGCATATCCAAACTGCCCATAGAACTTGTTAAGGTGTTGCATATCAGCTCCATTTGCAATGCTTCCACCAGATGAAACACCAGGCATCTGTGAATTGAAGTTTGGACCCATAGAGCCATCAAAAACAAATGGAATAGCACCACTAGGTGGGTAAGTGATAAATGGGGGAACAGCAGAAGAATTAAAACCATATCCACCTACACCATACTGAGGAGAAGGTAAACCTGGAGCTTGAACATTTGTATAAAACGGATTTGGTGTAGTCATGTATCCTGCAGTTGCATAAAATGGTGGTGTGAACCCAGATGACTGGAGTACCGGCTGTACCTCAGCTGCAAACTTGGAGGGGGCTTGCATAAACTGATCCATGCCAATGTAAGCACCATTTAGTCCCTGAGGAGTTGATTGGGACTTGGCAGTTTGAACCTGAAATGGGTTGCTTGGTTGTTGTAATGGTCCTTGGTGTTGGACCAAACTATTCTGGTAGTGACGTCGCTTTTGTTCTTGATTCTTTTATTTATGATTTTCAGAATTTTGCAGGCGCAGGGTAGATATATTAAGATCTTTCATCTCACACTCAATAACAGAAACATCTGAGCTACTAGCATCGCCAACAATAGCTTCATCCTTCAGATGGATATCTCTATCATGTAGAACTCCTTTTTGAAGATAAGGCACGGCTGATGCAGTTGCTGTACAAGGATGGGACAATGAGTTTGAAGTAGGCACAGTCTTTTGATCAACTCTAGATGATAGCCCTCTATCTGTGTCCAAAGTTGAGGTAATAGTACTTGCAGCAGTAATAGAGAGGTCATGCAGGGAATTGGAATCACCGTCACAATAATCTATTTCTGTTATTCCATAACTTAGAGGTTGAGACTGATTATATACAGGTGATGAAATGCAGGGGAAGTTTTCCTGTAAGTTTATAACCAAAAACTTATCAGTTACAAACACACAACCCAAACAAAACAAAGTGAGAACTTGTAAGGGATTTCAACAAACTTTAGGCTTTACAACCACCTCACTCCCCACACCACTTCCACCCCCCCCACCCCCCCCCCCCCCCACCCCCGACCGAGCTCTCCCAAGAAGAAGTAAATAAAAAACTTCCGTGCGGTTATTGTCAATTGATGCTGGAGTGTTTCCAATCTCAACAAAAGAATGACAAATGCACCCAAGCATGCTAATTAATAATCAGGGAATTTGACATGTTGCAACAAATAAAATTGTTACCAAGATCTTTACCTTTACTAAATTGACAGGTTCTTTCTGTTGGCCAACCAGTGAAGCCACATCCTGTCCAAACAAAAACCCATTAGCGCTTTCTATCAAATCATCCGAAGATTGATGGGGCGACTGATCATCCTCTGGCACTTCATTGTGTGTAGAAAGAGAGCCTTTTGAGAAATGCAAAAAAGTATCACCACTGTCATCTATAGAACTCAAAACCTGATTATTGCCAAACCTACCAATATGACGCTTGAGATGCTGATTCCTCCATGAGATAAGTGGAGGAGGAAGTCTAGGGTTAAGATTGACATTTGAACAGTAATATGCTATGTAGGCTGGATGAGCACATAACTGTTCTTCAGACTGACATTTTGCTAGTGCACTGTTCAAACTAGCTGAGTTCACATTAACGGTGGGGTTTTGCTGGGATATAAGGTTATCTATGGCCAAATAAGAACCCTCCATGCTTGGAGGAGCACTTCCACTACGATTAGGGACTGCCTCTGTTCCACTTGGAAGATACCTATGACCCCTTTGAAGCAGTCCTAATTCTTCTGCTGCGAGATTAGTAGATGATGCTGAAAATGCTGCAGCCTCCTGATGGGTGGGCCATTTTCCACTCATTTCTGAAATTCTAATTGGACTCTCAGTTGCCATGAGAAATTTGCACCGCTCCTTCCTTATAGTGAATGATAAGAGATCTCACATAGTCCTTTGAATGGCAGCCAAATGATATCCAACTTCAATCTAGAAGAGATGAAAACATTGCAAAATTTCTTAGACTAAAGACTGGGACAAGTACTGTTTTGACAATTTTCAGAAACAAGGAAAAAAAGTACTAAACAAGGTGAATTCACAATATAATAATCGACCTAATATTTGCAACCTCAATAACTAAACGCATATCAGAACAAAGAACTATTTAGCATAATTCCAGTAACTAATAAACAGGATTGCCCACAAACTCATAGCCAATTCCTTATCTGCAAATTTAGAAGATCAAAGAAGTATTATAATAAATATATATATAAATATATGTATACATATATTTCCAGTAACTAATAAACAAGATAGCCCACACACTTAAAAGGTCAATTGATAATAATTAATCAACTTAATATTTGCAGCCTCAATAACTAAACTTATACCAGAGCAAAGTATCATTTAGCGTATTTCCAGAAACTAATAAACAACTGCCAACGAACTATAACAACTTCCTTATCTGCAAACTTTAGAAAGATCAAGAAGAGTATTATATATATGTATGGGGTAATAAACAGGATAGCCCACAAACTTATAACCTAAATTGACAATAATTAATCAACTTAATATTTGCATCCTTCAATAACTAAACTTATACCAGAGCAAAGCATTATTTAGCATATTTCCAGTAACTAATAAACTGGACTACCAACAAACTATAACCACTTCATTATCTGCCAACTTTAGAAGATCAAGAAGAGTAGTGTATATATATATATATATACATATATACACACACATACTACTCAAAGAGTGTTATATATCAGATTCACACAAAAACACAAACACAAGGATGAGTATGCATTGCACACTTTAAATATGAGTATCTAATTCTACTAGGTGAAGATCAATCAGAAATAACTCCATTCTAAAATTACTTTTAATAACAGAAAAATACTCCTGATGGCAACACTAACACTTTGCAAATCCTGAAAATGGAATTCCAAGAAATTTAGGCATAAAAACAAAACCACAAGATTATGAATATTGGCAGTTCCCTCATTGATATTGTTCATATTTACAAGTAAAAGTAAGTGTTAATTAAAACAACCTCACCACAAACACCATGAGATCAACAAAGCTGATAAGCGTTAGCACATATATTGGTTGCTAAGAAAAGCTGCAAATCATGAATTCATCAATTTGATATTGGGCAAAAAGTAATGATGAGTACAATTCATGTTCAAATGGGTGGAGAACAGTACAAAAGACATGAGTTATTAAACAATTAGACTCATTAATGACTAAAGTCGTCTAATAAAATAACTTGGATATATTTAGAATATTCAATTCATTCAAGATGCAAGAAGAACTTTGCTTTGACTTAAATTTCTATCTTAAAAGGGCCGCCATGAATCAGACAGATATCATTGCGCACGTCAAAGTAATGAAGATGACAATAGCATTTAGATTAACAAAAATATAATAAAAAAAACTTTTTTGAACGATTACCAGACAAAATCATGCAACCTTTACACTGAACCAATCCCAATAATAAAAACCTGGAAACAAAAATAACACCAGCCATGACCCAAATTACAGACCACAAGAAAATAGCAAGAACTCTAAACAGGAGAATATTGATACCCTGTTTCCAATTCAGAATCTTGTTATCCTGGTAATTACCTCTAATTACAGTGAAACTTCCAGCGGCAAAGAATATATGACCAGCAATTTCATTAACCCAGATTATACAGAGCTAATGAATCCCAGTGCTAATTTGATTTGAAACAACTAAAAACAGAAATAGCTATGTACAGTCCATTGATAAAAACTAAAAACAAAATTTGAGAAGAAAAATGTTTGAAGAGCTAATTGAAAGTCAAAAGGAATGAAAAACCCGTGAAGAAAGATCATGCAAATAATAGAAAGAAATGAAAATAGAAGCAATAGTTAGTGAAGACAAAAACTAACTTTTGAAACCCTAAGTGAACTTTTAAAAAGGAAAAACATGAGAAAGACTGAGCAAAAACAGTGGAAGATTCTCTTACCCAGATACACTGATGCCGCAAAGATTCACTGTTCAAAACCCCAAGATTCCTTCTTTCCAGTTTCCAGAGAGGGAGAAACAAAAAAGACTTTGAGAGAGAGAGGAGAAGCGTTCAAAGAGAGAGAGACTGAAGGAGTTGGCTCTAAAATGACAAAATTAGTTTTAGTCAAGGGCAATTTTCTCTTTTCTTTAAAAAAAAAAATGTTGCTATAAACAGGAAAAAAGCGCTAATGCCAGAGCACGACATTGGCTTAAGTTTGAGCTCCTGTTTGTTGGTTCGGAAATGGACAAAACAGCAAGTCCTTGCAAAAGCGCGATTCGCACCATTGTCATTCTGCAAATAGGTGACACGTAATAATTATAATTTTTTTATTCAAATTATTCGTAATAATTTGATCATGTTCTCATCATAAAATAATTCTTTTATTGTTTCAAAGTAAATTATTATATCTGTATTTTTAAAATAAATAAATTTTTACAAATAATAATTAATTATATATTATTAATTAAAATATTATTTATTATTTTATATTATATAATAAATAATAATCTTATAAACGTCACATACATATAAAATGATAAATGATATTTTTATTAATATCAATTAATCAACAGTTGATTATAAAAATTTATTTGATCTAACTTAAACGTAGATGAACTTTTCACTTAAATAAATTATCAATGAGATGATTAAATTATGAATTATAATTTACAAATAAGATATTGGGAATTGATCAAAACTAAATTATTTTTTTCATTAATGTGTTCGATAGTGTGATTTTTCTATAGAAGAATAATATGAAGTGGGCTTACTTTATGCTACGATTGTTGAGTATTAATTATAGGAACTAAATAGCAGATAAAATGAGCATAGTATTTACGGAGCTGTGCAAATAAATTATATTTCAGTGAGCAAGAGGCAAGAGGAAATGAAAAATCCAAATTTGAAACATCTGTTTACTAATTTTTGAGTTATGTCATCATTCATGTTTTCACAGCACAACAGTGCCAATATCCTCAGCCATGAAGGATTGTTAATTGGAAAATCACTTTCTAAATCATTGCTTGACTGTTCACATTGACAAAAAAACTGCTTTTTCGCAGCAAAGCCCAACTTGGAGTCCTTTTTGTCTACTTGATTTGAAACGTTTAATGCGGATGTTTTCTCTCTTATTATAATTTAGATCAAATCAAAAGAAACTCTACAGCCCAAGAATGGGGGAATTTTATTAACTACTACTCTTGGAATATATAAGATCCATTACTTTATTCTTTATGTTGGATTTAACAATGTATATTCATATACCTTGTATTCGTAAATGTTGATGCTCGAAAAAAATCTTTAAATTATTTTAAAAATTTAAATAAATTATTATTTTTTATTACATTCAATAAAATTTTTTTATTTTTATTTTAAATTAAATAATTTTTTATAATTAATAGTTAATTAATTAAAATATCATTTATCATTTTATGTACATGTGACATTAACATGACATTGACGTGAAGAGTGAAAATACTGTCACATAGTCAAGTCATCATGCCATGTTATCACCTATTATAGTATAACGGCATATGACATCAGTAACATATGACATAAGATGATAAGTAGTATTTTATCTAATAATAATTAATCAATCATTAATTATAAGCGATTATTTGACTCAAAATAAAAATATAAAAACTTAATCGAATTGAAAAAAAATAAAAATTTATTTAAATTTTTTAAATATTATCTTTTTAAATTAATCTAATATTTATAGCATCTAAATTGGGAAATTTGCCTTAAATTGTGTACATTTGAATGTAATGCAATCAAAACAAGTAGATATATTAAATTTGATTATTTGAAAATATGATTTACTTAACTTAAAAATTAACCAATATAATTTACAAAACTCGAATATTAAATTAGGTTGCATATCTGGGCAAAAAGATTTTAAAGTGTGTAATGATTGAGATTTCTTAAATCAGTGTAACTTGATCCAAACTAAAGAAAAAAAAAAATACTATCACGTCTTAAGCCATTAAAAAATTAATATAAAATTATAAACATGTAAACTCCAATAACATGTGGCTTAGGCTGACGAGAGAAGTGTGAGCTTATGCTTTCATTTCTCTGTTACTAGCGTGGTGTCTGTGTGCTTTGCTCGAGATGCTATAATTTTTTTTTAATTTATTTTAGGATGTTTCGAGAAATAGATATGTAATGATAATTTCATCAAAAAATAAAATTATTGATCAAAAGGTCATATATACAAAATATTTCGTTATAAAAGATATAGCAATGTATTTATAGCTATCTTGGTGGTGGGATTGGTTGTTCTGCTGTCTTCATGTAAAAATGAAAAAGCTTCCTACTGCGCAATTGCCAATAACTTTTTTTTGCAATTTGTTATATACACAAGTTGAATGAAAAACTTACACTTGAATTATGGATATCTAATAGCTTCTATCCAAGGTTGCTAGTTTCATACAAAAAGGAAAAGGTATTTTGATTTGTAATTGCTAAAATAACAAAAAGTGAACAAAAGGCTTGTAACAAGTCATTTGGTTAGAAATGCTAACTTGGCAAAAGTTAATAGTGATATAAAAAGACTTTAGAATGTGAAATTCTTAGAGATTATGAAAAAATGGATGTGTATAATAAGAATATATTATAATCAAAATGCAATTTTAATAATAGATGTATATGGAAAAACAATAGTATCACTTAATTGGCTTTGTAAAATTGCAATTAATATAATATTCAACATTTAAATGATTACAGTTCTATCTATAGGTTCAAATTTTGATACTGAAGAGCAATAAATGATTTGTGAAATTGCAATTAAACAATTGTAATCTACAAAGTGAAAGTAAGCAACAAAATTGATTTGTGAAAGTAAACGTGACATAATAGTATAAAACGAATATTGTATTTTGCAAAAAAATAAAAAATAGAACAACAATACCAACAACCAAAAAGTAAAATCTATAGAAATCAAAAAGTGATAACAAGATAAAGCAGAAGGTGTAAAATATGTATGAATAAGTAGGAAAAAGTAAATATCAAATCAAAATGTGAGTAGCAGCAAGTCTATAAACCATAAATAGAAAATATAAAGGTCAAAGCTATAAAGAAGAAAAATTTAATTAAAATGCTATGTATGTGCTTGAAAAATACTGATGAATAAATTTATCGATAGTTAAAGCTAATAAATAAATAAGAGTCAGAAATTATTCGATCATGGCATAAAATCTTCAATACAGTCAAACTGATTTACTATAGGTTTGTTAAATTCCAAAAAAACTATTATAATAAATAAGAAATTGTACATATGCAGGTATAATTTATACTATCAATAAAGTAGTAAAGTATTTCATAAAAAACATATACACTACAATGAACAGCCACCTAACAAAATGTTAGAACCAACCAAGGGATATTCAACCAGTTTCAATGCCCCAAAGCAACTTAAACACACAAACAAATGCTAAAAAAAGAAAAAAAAAAACAAAGCAACTTACAATAGTATTTCTAAATATAAATTAATGAAGCTTACATAACTTTCGATCACATGTACAAAGTCATCCCCAAAAGTAATTTGATCCACACTAATAAAAATAAATACTTTGTAAATTCTTAAAAAAATGAGCAGAAAATGATACATGCAGTAACAAATGTGAAAAGAAAGAAAACTTGTCTTTATTATAACTAATTTATGTAGACAACCAAACAAATTGAACCCCAATTCTCAAGACTTCATAATAGCAGCATCTTAATAAACCAAACTAAGCATTAATTACACCATTCTATTATGACTCTAATTCTAATTTTAATAATTACTATCTCATTCTCTTTTGTTTTATACCAAACATGACATAAGGAACTATCATGTACTCACTATAATACTAAATATTGCAATAATACCATTAAATGCATCATCAAATTAGTGTGTGTTTTGGTAAATTGAGTAGTATGTCCACTGAAATATCTAGAAAACCAATCAATAAGAAGATTTTGGGTGACATTACATCAATTTATGAAGAAAGTATTTAGCGAAGAAAATGAAATTAATCTAGACATAAAGAGTAGTATTTAGCTAAAAGTCATAGAAAAGGAAATCTAATGTCTATTATAGTAAAATTGACAAATTTTTTTTTGTTTATTTATATGTTAAATACTATAGTTTTGTTAATATAATCCATAACATTCAAATAATATTATATTATTAAACCTTCTACAACTCAGCAATATTATATCACTTAGCAAATAATATTATGTTACCCATAACTACTTTTCAATATTATTTTAAAGAACAAACGTTCTTGCGCTTAGCAAAAGAAGTACCCCACTTTTGTTATATCAAGATGAATAATAAAGCATATTATAAATAAGTTAAAATAGTTAAAATAAATAAAATATAACAAATAAAAACAACATACCGTGAAAGTTATGCTGCATGATAGATGCAAAATTTATGTGTTTTGATAAATAGAGTGTTGTCTAGGCGATGCACTTAGGCTAGCATGATTTTATGTTTCATGGACATAGAAATAGCATAATTTAGTAATAAATCTGTTCAAAAATAAAAATGTTTCATGTATTGACAAATGTAATCCACCAATGTATTATTTGAAATAAACTATAAAGTTTTATTTGTTTGATTGAAAAGTTTCCAAACTATAATTAATCATAATATTGTCAATTTAAGAGTTCTCTTAAACAAAACATAGGATACAATAGAATTTAAAATTTATTCAATTTATCTCAATTTGTGCTTAAAAAGAGCATAATATATAATAAGCACCCGAGCATTTGACGTATTGGTTGGTACATGATTCTCCTACTTAAAGAGTAAGATTCAAATCCCCTTTCTCCAAATCCAAAAAAGAAGAGTGTAATGTATAATAATCTCATTTCTACTTAGACAATTTCATAATTGTAGCAAGATAGCTATCAAGAGAAATGTACATCTATTAATTTCCTACAAAACCATAATGGGAAAACCAAAAGTATTAACAAAGAACTAAAACAAGTATGAAGAAAAAATTAGCAGCATTAACAAAAAAATTAAAGTATAATGAAATTATCCAAAAATAAGAAGTCATAAAAGAAAAAAAGTTAAAAAAAATAAAAAATATACTCAAACTATGAAATATTAGTTATCTCCTGCATACTTTTATTGATGATTTATAGCATTCATTGTAGCACCAT